TCGATTCCCACGGGGGGCCAGTATGAAAAATAAAATAATGTATGCACTCACTAACTGTAAGTCGCTCTGGATAAGAGCTCTGCTAAATAATGTAGAGGTTACATTCTCAGAACATACTATTTTCTTATAATATTTATAGATGATATACAGTACTTTGTCTTAAATATGTCTTAGCATATCTTTGTAGTTATATTTTCATGTATTCAATTGTGTATGTCATATAAGGCATATAAGTCACCGCATATACAAAAAACACCACTGACATATAAGGCAACACATACACAATCTTACCAGATTCTTATTAGATTACTTATTAGATTTTTTTACAAATAATCTTCTTCTGCCATATAAGATTCTTATTTGATTTTCATGATTATTTTCCATATGGGATCTTATGTTGGAGATTATGATGGATGGAAATGGGAGTTGAGGCAAAGGTGAGAGAGGATGAGAGATATGAAGGGATGTAGATGAGGGACATGTATAGATGGGTTCAGTGGGGCAGTGGGAGGAGAGTCTGGGAGACAGGGATGAGTCTAGGCAGATATATCCAGGGAGGGAGTGTGTCTTCTCCAGGGGTAATTCACTGGGAGTTGCTGTGAAATGGAGCAAGTCTGCTGAAGCTGCCAGAGATTATTCAAACCCTTTCCGGGTAGTGGCTCTGAAATCATACTGCACTGGGTCCAATCACAGGCTGCAGAGTTCCTTTTCCCTTGGGCACCCATGCAGCACAATTATAATTAAAGAAAACATAGGCAAAAACTGAAGGACATTTGCTACTGCGGGACAGGGGAGAATTCATATATTCTCTATGCATTTTGTAGGTTTAGTAATACTAGGCAAATAGCATAAACCTGATTTCAGCTAGTTTTGCATAGGAAAGTTTGATTAAGCATACTCAAGTCGATTTTTTTATGCTCTGAGGCTGAAGGACTGGATATTTTTCACATGATAGAGGGATAAATAATAGGCAAACTGACAGAAAAATGTCAAGTACATATGTCTTACTGTTGACAGCTTTGGATAAAAGTATCTGTTAAATGACCATATTTTTGGGATAGCATAGCATCAAAGGTGATACACCATATGCCATATTCACTGTTATTTAAAAAAAACGTTCATCCTCACTTTATGGAAGCCACAGTATTTTATCTGAGAGAACCATACAGTAATGCAGTGCTGTGACAGTCAGATAAAGACTTCACAGACTTGTGTCTTGAACTGTGAGATTTGAGGAAAGATCTGACAATTCAAAACCACTGAATATGTCTCACTACCTTTCATCCAAAGTAATAGCAGCAGTAGTGTAAAAGATGAAACAGCACACTGATTTAAATATAAATCTATTCAGCAGTCTGAAAAGGATGACAATTATGCAAAAATCGGTCTGATTGTGATATGCAAATATAACCATATCGGATTCAATGTAAAACAAAAACAATATTATATAAACTTCACATTTTACAATTCTAGTATTTTCCTCTAATTTGTCAGCTACGTATGCTGCTGATGCTGGCAAATTGAGATGGAGGTGAACACCGCAATGTAAGATGCCAAGAGGGGGTAAAGAAACTGAATATTCAAACGAAATAAAGACCATGATAGTCCCACATCTTACAAGCAGCATATATCTTTAAACAGTTTGTCTTATCTCTTCAAATAGAGGAGCCCTAAAGGGACAGCTGCATGCAGTGATCATGAATGGAGCTCAGTTAGCACTGCTGACTACCAAGTAGGGCCCCCGCATCGCCTCTTCCAGCTAAAAGGGGCTTTCAAAGGGAACCCGGCTTGCCAGTGTCACCACGTAAAATCCACAGCCAACAGAGTATTTTCTTGGTGCTTTGATTTCACATTCATTTAAGGCTTGCTGCGATGACTCTGCAGGAAATGTACAGACCCACAAATTATGATCAGTTATGTTAGGTTACAGTTGTAGTATGCGTTACGGTTGTAGTATGCTGCAGAGGTGTTGTGAGAGAATCATTCAATCGCAGTGCTATGTGTTAGCGGCTGTAGCCCCATTAGATGCACTTTATTCCCTGTGCGGCTTAGATCTTGGTAGTGTGTCTCGGCCAATGTGGGGATGTGTGGTGAGGGGTCCGTTGTCTTTGAGGTATAATGCTGATTTTAGGGTTTCACTGCAAAATATTTTATCTCTAAGACTCCTGTCAAATATGGTTCTTTGAAGGCTTACTGGGTTTATGGTACAGTAACTTTACTAAACCCCGAGGATGTTTGCCTTGCAATAATCACGTAATGTTGTACTGTAACTTAACCACAGGAACACTGAATATTGCTCCAAAATACCCTCTAGGAAAGTCTTCACTGTATCTATCATCAAACAACACCCACTTACTGTAATGTGCAGTGGGTGCGTTATACATTTTATTTGACAAGCACAGATGGTGAGGACGTTTTTCCCTGTTTTCCCATTAATACTGCATAGTTGATGTCACACAGTGGACCTAATGATTGAAGGGATACTTTGGGATATTAGCAGTGAGGCCCATTATCTACTTTTCCAGTCAGGTGAACTCGTAGATACCATTTTGATGTATCTGTGTCTAGTATGAAGGAAGTTAGAGGTAGTTTTGCGAGCCAATACTAACTAGCGTTAGCGCAATTACTGGAAGTCTATGGGTATCTACTAGCATACTGTAAATGTACTATATAGGATAGATTGGTATGTTGCCCCTCAGTGTTTGTGTCTCTTGATAGAACTCAGTAGTTGAAGCAGTGTGTCAAATGATTGATTCTCTGCGGTCTCCCTCCTGAGCACCGCCGCAGTCCATCTCAATCCTCGCAGACCAAAGCACAACAACACAAGTCTTCAAATGTACAATATACGTGTTTTTGAAACCCAATCTCCTTCTCCTAGACCCCTAGTCTGCCTGTTCATCTGTGGTTGCTATGTGAAGAACACCTTGGAGCATGCTCTGAGGGTCACCATGATCAATAATAGAGATGCATCTTGCTGAAGCACTTTGTTTTCTCTCATTCCTGTCCATCCCTTCATCTGAGGAGGAGAGTGGTGGTGGTGGTGTGTAATGGGGCGTAGGAGACAGGCCTTTGGTCCGTGGCCCTAATGGATAAGCTCCTGACCAGAGCTGAACAAACACAAACCAGAATCGTCTATTTATCCCAAAACTATTTATAGAACTCTTCTGTTTGAATATCAGCGTCATACCGTCAAGTAGGAAAAAAACACTACGGTGATATTTAACTCATTACTTTCCACAGAAAACAATAACATGAGCGCGCATCTGTCAAAACATGTCAGCCAGACACACAGGATGTGGTGCAACATTGCCATGATAAATGAACATTTCAAGCTACATTATTAATATTACGCACCGATACGATTGTCGTAGCAATGAAGTTATTGCTCTAAAGACGGATGGCAAGCTGAGACAACAAAGATCTGCATGTGCTAGATCTTCTCAGTCAGTTTATGTGGTAGGTCCTTCTGAGATGGAGAAAGAATCACCCTGATATATTCCTGTAGTTGTCCTCTATGTAAGGTCATTGGTGTACTACTGACGTCAGGCTCCTTTCATCTTGCCTCATGTTTCACATTATACTGTAGAAACTTGGTAATTTATATGATTAAAAACGAATGATGCTCATGTTTTAATTACTTGGTATTTGCACACGCCTGTAGCCTGTCTTGTACTAGCAAGACCATAATACATTAGTGCTCCTGTACAACTCTTCAGCATTAAAGTAAAAACATACTGACAGTAAGCAAAAGCCCGATACCTGAATAACAGAAGGACAAGCGATCCAATATTCTGTTTAGTGGAGGAAACGGCAGCATTCAAGTGTCGCCCTGACTGTCTTTAATCCATGTGTAGTGAGCCGCCCTGACTGTCTTTAATCCATGTGTAGTGAGCCGCCCTGACTGTCTTTACTCCATGTGTAGTGAGCCGCCCTGACTGTCTTTACTCCATGTGTAGTGAGCCGCCCTGACTGTCTTTACTCCATGTGTAGTGAGCCACCCTGACTGTCTTTACTCCATGTGTAGTGAGCAACCCTGACTGTCTTTACTCCATGTGTAGTGAGCCACCCTGACTGTCTTTACTCCATGTGTAATGAGCCGCGCTGACTGTCTTTACTCCATGCGTAGTGAGCCGCCCTGGGTCTTGCTCCTTTTCTCTTCTCCTCCAATCCTTAGATGGCGGGGCAGCAGCTTTCATTGACTGGGCACTCCCTGGGCCCCTGGGGCACTGCAGGCCGTTCCACTCCACAGCCGACAGCCTAATCCATCTCCATTGTGCGGATGCACAGGAGTCAGAGAGTTCTGTCTGAGCAGAGCAGAGCAGGGTGGAGGCTCATCCTGTAAATAAGCTCTGGGATGTCGTCTGTTTCCAGTCTTCACATGTCGACTGTTTCCAGTCTTCAGAGAGCTAATGGTTAGCTGCTTGGCGTTTCAAGCCCTCTACCTTGGAGAGTTCTGCCCATATACTGTAATGATGTTCCTGCAATGGCTGACAGGGCTGTGGTTTTAGTAAACCTGATATGAGAGGATCTGGAAATCAGGCCCTCATTCTTAGGGTAGATTGTTTACCTTTAGATGATGGCAGATGGTGTCATCTTACAACAATTTAGCCTGAGTGAGATTGGGAAAGAGACTGAGATGGGGAAAATAAGAGAGAGAGAAACACAGAGAGAGAGAGAGAGCTTATTAACAGAGGGAAATGTAAAAGCAACCATGTTTTTCTGTCGTTTACCTGCATTTCCTCTTATCAAGTTGAAAGCGGCCTGACCGCCATTAATTCAACAATGGAGCAACACATCTGTATGTTCATTGTTAGTCTTTATTTTTATCTACTGTATTTCTTTGTTCCTTCCCAGCAAAACCGCAATTTACAGTTGCTAATAGCTGTCTTTAAAAGGACCATTTTTTTGCTGCTGCTCACTAATTACTACAGAATAAGCACTTGATCGAAGCTAAATTATATTTTCTGTTGTCTGGCAGTACAGTTAATTCCTTTTTAATTATGAAGCGCCAGCAGGTAAGCGTTTTCAGAGCATCCACCATGCTGCCCTATTTCATCCACTTATGCTATGTAGGCTATTATGGTAGGTACGGTATGGTAGCCTAAATGTCTCACTCAATGATTTGACCTTGAGAGTAACCGCACCAGTGCCTACTGCACCTCTATTCACAAGATCAAATGCGTTCTGCAAAATCGAATGCATGTAATAATAGAAATAAATAAATGCTATGATCACGCTTCCAACGTGCCTTCCATGGCTTTACTTTCGTTTGATATTCATCATAGCATTAGCCCCATAATCCAAGGTACATCTGTGAAATGGGTTGATGAAATGAGATGCATATGGACAGCTGCTCTGTTGATGCTGCATGGCTGATGGCCACTTCGTCACACGAGAGAAGCTATACAAAAATGTCACACATCTCCATTCCAATTCCATTCCCTGGTTTTATTATATTCACAGAGAGCAAACAAAGGGCCTATATAATGGCCTATGACAAATCCCATGCAGATCCTGGTGCATTAAGTTGAAAACTGTAACCGCAGAAATGCTATCATAAATACAGATAGAGCGTGTGTGTTAAGGGTACTTCAGCACGGACAAGGAATTACCACGATAAATACAATAAAGTACAGTTTCATGGATATGCTTCATAAGCGAGAGAGAGAGAGAGAGAGAGAGCGCACACTCTTGGTGATGAGAAGATCTCGGCCATAGTCAGTTCATAGCACTTAAAATCTGTCCTGCTACCTCATTTCAGGAAGATATTTTCTATTTGTAATAGCACTACAAATCTTGATTTCAAAGCAAAAACAGTATCTGCCATACCTGGAAGCAGGGTAGATATGAGACACATGCCGTGTGTGCTTTGCTATTTGTGTGGTTGCGTGTGTGTGTTTTTTAGAGAGGACATAAAGAAAATGTGTTCGTAAGTGTGGGGGTGGATGACTGCTTGCTTTTGCTACAATTGTATATGCATTGCCAGTTGGCGTCTTCTATGCAGATACATTTGTGTTTTCACTCATATTGGAGATGTATGGAGCTATTTAAAAGACTGGCTTTTAGAGAATCCACAGAAGGTAGACCCGCTGTGATAAAACCCTTATTAAACTGTGATGTGGCAGCCAACTAACTTTGTCCAGGGATTGCATGTTGAGTTAAATGATTTGCTAAGCTATAATTACACACACCTATTATTTGTCCTTATCTCTTCATTTGGCGTATTAGCACGGCATGTGTATGATTCCCTAACATCTTAAAGAAGTTCCCATGAGGAGGAAAACAAGATACAAGCTGTTAAGAAAATTGGCTCTCTTGAACATCACCTCTACACCATGCCTCAGTCTGTGCTAAACACTTAATTCAGGGTATTGCACATTCATTGAAATGTATCCACATACATTTACTGGCTTTACTCATCTGAATGTACTTCGAACACTGCTGTTTTGCATTCTGATCATGGCTGATAGAGATATTTAATCTCAGTGTTACCACTGTGATAACTACTCACCTAGTGAATTCCACACCTGGAGTCCCACATCCTGACATGTCCTGACCAGTCTCTCTCTCCTTTGCCTTGCAGTTTCCCAGAACGCCGGAGGGAGGATGGACCGGCTGATCTTCTCCCTGTTGGTGCTGGCCGTCTCCACCAGGGGGCAGCTGTGCCCCAAGCGCTGCATGTGCCAGAACGTGTCCCCCTCGCTGGCCATCCTCTGTGCTAAGACGGGCCTACTCTTCGTGCCCACCGTCATCGACCGGCGCACCGTGGAGCTGCGGCTCACTGAGAACTATATCACAGCCATAAGGAGGCGGGACTTTGCCAACATGACTAGTTTGATCCATCTGACGTTGTCCCGCAACACCATAAGCCAGATCATGCCTTACACCTTCGAGGACCTCAAGCGGCTGCGGGCGCTGCACCTGGACAGCAACCGGCTGAGTGTTATCAGGGATGACCACTTTCGGGGGCTCACCAACCTTAGGCACCTGATCTTGGCCAACAACCAGCTGCACAATATCTCTCCCCACGCCTTTGACGACTTCACAGGAACCTTGGAAGACCTGGACCTGTCCTACAACAACCTGGTGGACATTCCCTGGGAGACGATAGGTCGTCTAACCAACGTCAACACCCTTAACATGGACCATAACCTTATAGAGCATGTACCCCAAGGGATCTTCACCAACCTGCACAAGCTGGCGCGTCTAGACATGACGTCCAATAAGCTTAAGAAGATCCCACCAGATCCACTTTTTCTGCGCATCCCTGTCTACGCTAAAGCCAAAGGATCTCCTCAGTCGTCATTGGTGATGAGTTTTGGCGGAAACCCCCTCCACTGTAACTGTGAGCTGCTGTGGCTAAGGAGGCTGACCAGAGAAGACGACCTGGAGACATGCGCCTCTCCTCCAGACCTCACAGCCAAGTACTTCTGGACTATCCCCGAGGAGGAGTTCATCTGTGACCCTCCGGTCATGACCAGGAAGTCTGCCAAGACCTTCACCATAGAGGGCCAGCCCACCAGTCTGAAGTGCAAGGCTAACGGAGACCCGGACCCAGAGATTCACTGGATTTCCCCCGAGGGCCGTCTGATCTCCAACACGTCACGGACTGTCACCTTCAGCAACGGCAGCCTGGACATCAACATCACCTCCCTGAAGGACTCTGGAACCTTCACCTGCATTGCCTCCAACGCGGCGGGGGAGTCCACGGGCCAGGTGGAGCTGGTGGTCAACACCCTCCACCACCTGGTCAACCGCACCAACCAGCTATGGGAGCCCGACCCTGGCCCTTCAGACATCCTTACCTCGGCCAAGTCCACCATGGCCACAGGCAACGACACACGGAAGAACCAGGAGGGGAGGGTGCTGATTGCGGAGCTGACAGCTAGCTCAGTGCTGATCAAATGGCCATATCAGAACTACGTCCCTGGGATCAGGATGTACCAGGTCCAGTACAACAGTTCCCTGGATGACACGCTCATCTACAGGTGAGGAGGGATAGGGATCTGAACAGGGGTGATGGTGAAATGAAGAGGGGAAATAGCTTCAGTCTCTTGGTTAGAATGAGTTAATTACTTTCAAATGTGTTTTTTGTATTAATGACCTACTCAAGGTTTTATGATTAAATGACATTTTGATTCACAGATGTACAATTACAAGATGTCTATCAGCTAAACAGTAGCAATCATAAGAACACCAGAAACATTTCATCTTGTACAAATGTATGTAATTATAATGAGTTGAGAATGAGGTGGTAATTACTCATCGTTATTTGCAAGAGATAAACAGGGACAATTTTTCATTTGCTTTGAGAAAACATGTTTAATCTCTTCTTAATTATTATTTCTCTCCTTTGTTCTTGTTCCAAGGTTTATTTGTAATAATTTTTCATTTTGATGCTTCCTTCATTGCATATGCAAGGTCCATCATCAATATATATCAATTTGTAGAGTTTGTATCACTCTGATAGATGCTGATGGACCGTTCTGTAACTCTATGACAACTATTTTTGTCATCAAAAAGTATTGGTTTTCATTCAAGTCTCCTCACGTCGTCTTACAGGGCCTGGCCCAGGGCTATATGCAGGTGGGTTGTATAGATTTTCTGCTCTGATCAATGGCAGGGGTCACCAAGGGAGTATATTGATTTGGGATCTCATTTAGAGCGTCCACGCCGAGATTCTGGTGGCAAATCTTAGTGACTGAAGATATGCGGGTCTGTCCCACTGTCGAAAATGCACAGCCATAGTAAGAGAAAGAGAGAACTTCACTTTCTTTGGTGTTTTCAATCTTTGTTTCAGGGGAAATGTATTCCCCAAGAGGTGTCTGTTACCACGGGGAGTTGGAGAGATGACTTTGAATGCCGAACACGTAGAGGAACATTGTGCACAGAGAGACACAGTTTGGATTGTGGTTAGTTTTAGAGCAGGTACACAGTCTACAGACTGATTCTTCTGTGCTCTAATGAACTCTCTCTCAGCAGATATTGTGGGGAGCCTAAACTAATTAACTGACTGGGACAGGAGAGATGTTACTATAGGTGAATTTATCTACCACCAAGGACTTAAACCTGGCTCCCTGATTCCATTCCTCATTGACTAGTTGTCTGATTTATTTATTTGGTGTGGGCAAGCAGTGAGCACACATGCACACACATACAGTGCCTTGCAAAAGTATTCATCCCCCTTGGTGTTTTTCCTATTTTGTTGCTTACAACCTGTAATTTAACCCTCCCATTGTCCTAGGGTCAAAATGACCCGCCACTGTGTTGAACCAACTTTATTTTATTTTTATATTTTTTTGATCATTTGTGAGAAGGAGGCAGTGATACTTTCTTTAAAGTCTCACTGCCTCCTTCTCACAAATGATCCCAAAAATATAAAAATGAAATAAAGTTGGTTCAACACAGTGGCGGGTCATTTTGACCCTAGGACAACGGGAGGGTTAAATGGATTTTTATTTGGATTTCATTTACTGGACATACACAAAATAGTCCAAATTGGTGAAGTGAAATTTAAAAAAAATAATAACGGAAAACTGGTGCATGCATATGTATTCACCCCCTTAGCTATGAAGCCCCTAATTAAGATCTGGTGCAACCAATTACCTTCAGAAGTCACATAATTAGTTAAATAATGTCCACCTGTGTGCAATCTAAGTGTCACATGATCTGTCACATGATCTCAGTATATATACACCTGTTCTGAAAGGCCCCAGAGTCTGCAACACCCCTAAGCAAGGGGCACCATCAAGCAAGCGGCACCATGAAGACCAAGAAGCTCTCCAAACAGGTCAGCGACAAAGTTGTGCAGAATTACAGATCAGGGTTGGGTTATAAAAAAATATCAGAGACTTTGAACATCCCACAGAGCATCATTAAATCCATAATTAAAAAATATAAAGAATATGGCACCGCAACTAACCTGCCAAGAGTTGGCCGCCCAACCAAAACTCATGGACCAGGCAAGGAGGGCATTAATCAGAGAGGCAACAAAGAGACCAAAGATAAACCTGAAGGAGCTGCAAAGCTCCACAGCGGAGAGTGGAGTATCTGTCCATAGGACCACTTTAAGCCATACACTCCACAGAGCTGGGCTTTACGGAAGAGTAGCCAGAAAAAAGCCATTGCTTCAAGAAATAAATAAGCAAACACATTTGGTGTTCGCCAAAAGGCATGGGGGAGACTCCCCAAACATATGGAAGAAGGTACTCTGGTCAGATGAGACTAAAATTGAGCCTTTTGGCCATCAAGGAAAACGCGATGTCTGGCGTAAACCCATCACCTCTCATCACCCAGAGAACACCATCGTGGTGGTGCCAACATCATACTGTGGGGATGTTTTTCATCGGCACGGACTGGGAAACTGGTCAGAATTGAAGGAATGATGGATGGCGCTAAATACAGGGAAATTCTTGAGGGAAACCTGTTTCAGTCTTCCAGAGATTTGAGACTGGGACGGAGCTTCACCTTCCAGCAGGACAATGACCCTAAGCATACTGCTAAAGCAACACTTGAGTGGTTTAAGGGGAAACATTGAAATGTCTTGGAATGGCCTAGTCAAGCCCAGACCTCAATCCAATTGAGAATCTGTGGTGTGACTTAAAGATTGCAGTACACCAGCAGAACCCATCCAACTTCAAGGAGCTGGAACAGTTTTGCCTTGAAGAATGGGCAAAAATCCCAGTGGCTAGATGTGCCAAGCTTATAGAGACATACCCCAAGAGACTTGCAGCTGTAATTGCTGCAAAAGGTGTCTCTACAAAGTATTGACTTTGGGGGGGGTGAATAGTAGTGCACGCTCAAGTTTTCTGGTTTTGTTTGTTTCACAAGAAAAAATATTTTTCATCTTCAAAGTGGTAGGCATGTTGTGTAAATCAAATGATACAAACCCCCCAAAAATCAATTTTAATTCCAGTTTGTAAGGCAACAAAATAGGAAAAATGCCAAGGGGGTTGAATACTTTCGCAAGCCACTGCATGCACACACACAGTTATGTAAACTTAGCATATTACAGTGTGTTTCTTGCACCTGTCTACACACCCACTGAAGGGTATGAGCACATAGTACACTAAAAGGCATTCAATACACTAATACAAACACACACCCACACAAACAAAGCAAGTAGAGTACAGTACATTTCTTAAACAGCTCATCATATAAAACATATTTCTTTGTTTTAGATTAATCAAAGGTTTTGTTCGACTCTAAGGCAGCAACGCTAGCTTAAATTCTGCCTCTGTCTTCCATATTGATTTGGAAGAAGAGAGGAATGTTCATAAGGGACATGTTTCATGGGCGAGGAGCTCAAGCTAACAACAACTCCCCGAAGCTATAATTTATAGACAATTTTCGAAAGCTGTGTAGAGGAATGGCGTAACAGCCACTGCCAGGTCCCAGTAAACAACACACCACAGCCCAAATATTATTAAGAGCGAATCAGTATAGCTGCTATGTTCTCTTTGGTCTGTTCCAGCTCCTACTCAAAATGTGTCCTTGATCATTTTAGGCATTTCTGTAAAAAAAAAATATATGTTTCTAGCAAATTTAGTAAATACCAGTAGGACTTGATAGTCCCTTCCTTCATGACCACTAATCTGAAATGACTTGACAGATGCATTCGATTCAATGTAAATCAATGCCCTCCTTTCACATGTCAATGGCCAGAAATAAAATGAGAATATTAAAGGAAGGCATCTGACAGTATTGGGACATGGCCCCTACCAATTCCTCTGATGTAGGAAGTGATTGATAGTTTATATCAGACGGATGAAGCTTGAAGCACCCGGGACCGGCTGTGAGGACCGTTGGGGTCCACTGTATATTTGCTGGCACAGTCACTTGAGCGGTACCCATCGATGGCATTGATAGTGTATCCATGCAGGGTGTCATCAGGAATCAATGGGACCCAGCTGGACTTAGGCAGCAGTCACTCCTCCTCAACTCCCTTTAACGTCTCTACTTTACAGGACTATTGGCCGCACGGACTCCTCCGAGCTCCTCTCAGTCCCTCTCTGTGGTGGGGCCCTGGTGAATAGAGGCCCCACCACAATAGAATAGCACCGTCGTACACACACACTCCATTCATGCTCTGCTTCATAAATCACCTCTGCATGAGGCTCTATTAGGGATGGGCGGAAGAGCACTTTAGGGGGAGATAGTGAAAGCAAGAAGTGAAGAGAGAAAGATTTGAGAGAGCAGATATTTTGTCACTGTGATATCATGATTATCAGCTAAACTATATTACTAAGGGATGGAAGTTTGTTCTGTCATTTTAAATCAGGGATTAGGCTCAGAATGTGTAATCGAAACTATTACAGCTATTAGCAGTTGAATAGACTCTTTCTTGGCAAAATCCACTTGTGTGCAAGTGGACTCATGTCAGAGAAAGGAAGGCATTTACTGTTTGCTCACTTATACCATTGGTTGTTTTAATACTTTGTGACGACTAATGAGCTTACCAATCCACTCACTTGACAGACCTTTATACTTGAGTGATTATTAGTATACATACAACATTCATCACCTATTTATTTGGTACCTTTGTTGGCTCTCTGATATGGGTTTTTTGGGAGAGACAAAGCCATCCCACTGGGCACACACTGGTTGAATCAATGTTGTTTCCACGTCATTTCAATGTTGGTTCCACATAATTTCAATGAAATGACGTGGAACCAACGTGGAATAGACGTTGAGTTGACGTCTTTGCCCAGCGCTATCATTGGTATGCAAACATTTGCCCACTTTAAGTGTACCTGCAATATCTCTCACAGTCATTATAAGGTCTATATATAGTCAGAACAAATCAAAACATTAACATAAGGGATTCTTCAAAACAAAGGCTTGGCAAAGTATGATACCTGGAGTAAAACGGAGCATGGCATAAGTGAATTCCCCAAATTATGGTTTTGATAAGACTCAGTTGCCAACAAGCTCATCCTATTTTCAAACGTGACAGGTAATTTCCTTTTGGTGTTGTACTTGAAGGCCCCATGCAAAGAGGCCACAATGACATGTTCACAGCATTGCCTTGTGAGAAATCAAAGTAGAATCAAACAGAAGAGCATTACATTGCTGTACACAGCTCCTCCTGAGCAATGGGTATACCATCAACATAGCTGTCTCACTGTGCATCATGGTGCAGCATAGCACCTGTACAGAGATGGCTAGATATACAAAAAGCGAAATATGTAGGTTTTGGCTGAGGGAACAAGCTGGCCTACCTTGACATTATTTTATTTTTCGTGATATCCAATTGGTAGTTACAGTCTTGTCCCATCGCTGCAACTCCCGTATGGACTCGGGAGAGGCGAAGGTTGAGAGCCATGCGTCCTCCGAACCACGACCCTGCCAAGCCGCACTGCTTCTTGACACACTGCTTGCTTAACCCGGAAGCCAGCCGCACCAATGTGTCGGAGGAAACACCGTACAACTGGCAACTGTGTCAGCGTTCATGCGCCCGGCATGCCACAGGAGTCGTTAGAGCGCGATGGGACAAGGACATCCCGGCTGGCCAAACGCTCCCCTAACCCGTACGATGCTGGGCCAATTGTGCGCCGCCTCATTGGTCTCCTGGTCGCGGCCGGCTGAGACACAGCCCGGGATCAAACCCAGGTCTGTAGTGACCGCTGCGCCACTCGGGAGGCCCCTCCCTTGAACTCTTTACTTTACGGTCCTCAGTGTTATGTTTCATTGGAACTAACCTCCAAACTGGCCAGGGCTTTAAAGCTTAAAGGATGACTCGTCCAGTTCACATAGTGGCTTGCGAAAGTATTCACCCACCATGGCATTTTTCCTATTTTGTTGCCTTACATTAAAATGGATTTTTTTGAAGTTGGTATCATTTGATGTACACAACATGCCTACCACTTTGAAGATGCAAAATATTTTTTATTGTGAAACAAACAAGAAATAAGACAAAAAAACAGAGAACTTGAGCGTGCATAACTATTCACCCCCCCAAAGTAAATACTTTGTAGAGCCACCTTTTGCAGCAATTACAGCTGCAAGTCTCTTGGGGTATGTCTCTATAAGCTTGGCATATCTAGCCACTGGGATTTTTGCCCATTCTTCAAGGCAAAACTGTTCCAGCCACCTTGAAGTTGGATGTGTTCTGCTGGTGAACTGCAATCTTTAAGTCATACCACAGATTCTCAATTGGATTGAGGTCTGGGCTTGACTAGGCCATTCCAATACATTTCAATGTTTCCCCTTAAACCACTCAAGTGTTGCTTTAGCAGTATGCTTAGGGTCATTTTCCTGCTGGAAGGTGAACCTCCGTCCCAGTCTCAAATCTCTGGAAGACTGAAACAGGGTTCCCTCAAGAATATCCCTGTATTTAGCACCATACATTATTCCTTCAATTCTGACCAGTTTCCCAGTCCCTGCCGATGAAAATCATCCCCACAGCATGATGCTGCCACCACCATGCTTCACTGTGGGGATGGTGTTGTCGAGGTGATGAGAGGTGTTGGGTTTGCGCCAGACATAGCGTTTTCCTTGATGGCCAAACAGCTCAATTTTAGTTTCATCTGACCAGAGTACCTTCTTCCATATGTTTGGGGAGTCTCCCACATGCCTTTTGGCGAACACCAAAGCCTAGCTCTGTGGAGTGTATGGCTTAAAGTGGTACTATGGACAGATACTCCAATATCCGCTGTGGAGCTTTGCAGGTCCTTCAGGGTTATCTTTGGTCTCTTTGTTGCCTCTCTGATTAATGCACTCCTTGCCTGGTCTCAAATCAAATCAAATCAAATTTTATTGGTCACATGCGCCGAATACAACAGGTGCAGACATTGCAGTGAAATGCTTACTTACAGCCCTTAACCAACAGTGCATTTATTTTTAAACAAAAAAAGTAAGAATAAAACAACAACAACAAAAAAGTGTTGAGAAAAAAAGAGCAGAAGTAAAATAAAGTGACAGTAGGGAGGCTATATATACAGTAAAATAAAGTGACAGTAGGGAGGCTATATATACAGGGGGGTACCGTTGCAGAGTCAATGTGCGGGGGCACTGGCTAGTTGAGGTAGTTGAGGTAATATGTACATGTGGGTAGAGTTAAAGTGACTATGCATAAATACTTAACAGAGTAGCAGCAGCGTAAAAAGGATGGGGTGGGGGGGCAGTGCAAATAGTCCGGGTAGCCATGATTAGCTGTTCAGGAGTCTTATGGCTTGGGGGTAGAAGCTGTTGAGAAGTCTTTTGGTCCTAGACTTGGCACTCCGGTACCGCTTGCCGTGCGGTAGCAGAGAGAACAGTCTATGACTAGGGTGGCTGGAGTCTTTGACAATTTTGAGGGCCTTCCTCTGACACCGCCTGGTATAGAGGTCCTGGATGGCAGGGAGCTTTGCCCCAGTGATGTACTGGGCCGTACGCACTACCCTCTGTAGTGCCTTGCGGTCAGAGGCCAAGCAGTTGCCATACCAGGCGGTGATGCAACCAGTCAGGATGCTCTCGATGGTGCAGCTGTAGAATTTTTTGAGGATCTGAGGACCCATGCCAAATCTTTTTAGTCTCCTGAGGGGGAATAGGCTTTGTCGTGCCCTCTTCACGACTGTCTTGGTGTGTTTGGACCATGATAGTTCGTTGGTGATGTGGACACCAAGGAACTTGAAGCTCTCAACCTGTTCCACTACAGCCCCGTCGATGAGAATGGGGGCGTGCTCAGTCCTCTTTTTTTTCCTGTAGTCCACAATCATCTCCTTTGTCTTGGTCACGTTGAGGGAGAGGTTGTTGTCCTGGCACCACACGGCCAGATCTCTGACCTCCTCCCTATAGGCTGTCTTATCGTTGTCGGTGATCAGGCCTACCACTGTTGTGTCGTCGGCAAACTTAATGATGGTGTTGGAGTCGTGCCTGGCCATGCAGTCATGGGTGAACAGAGAGTACAGGAGGGGACTGAGCACGCACCCCTGAGGGGCCCCCGTGTTGAGGATCAGTGTGGCAGATGTGTTGTTACCTACCCTTACCACCTGGGGGCGGCCCGTCAGGAAGTCCAGGATCCAGTTGCAGAGGGAGGTGTTTAGTCCCAGGATCCTTAGCTTAGTGATGAGCTTAGAGGGCACTATGGTGTTGAATGCTGAGCTGTAGTCAATGAATAGCATTCTCACGTAGGTGTTCCTCTTGTCCAGGTGGGAAAGGGCAGTGTGGAGTGCGATAGAGATTGCATCATCTGTGGATCTGTTGGGGCGGTATGCAAATTGGAGTGGGTCTAGGGTTTCTGGGATTATGCTGTTGATGTGAGCCATGACCAGTCTTTCAAAGCACTTCATGGCTACAGACGTCAGTGCTACGGGTCGGTAGTCATTTAGGCAGGTTATCTTAGAGTTCTTGGGCACGGGGACTATGGTGGTCTGCTTGAAACATGTTGGTATTACAGACTCAGTCAGGGACATGTTGAAAATGTCAGTGAAGACACTTGCCAGTTGGTCAGCACATGCTCGGAGTACACGTCCTGGTAATCCGTCTGGCCCTGCGGCCTTGTGAATGTTGACCTGCTTAAAAGTCTTACTCACATCGGCTACGGAGAGCGTGATCACATAGTCGTCCGGAACAGCTGGTGCTCTCATGCATGCTTCAGTGTTGCTTGCCTCGAAGCGAGCATAGAAGTGGTTTAGCTCGTCTGGTAGGCTTGTGTCATTGGGCAGCTCGCGGCTGTGCTTCCCTTTGTAGTCTGTAATAGTTTTCAAGCCCTGCCACATCCGACGAGCGTCAGAGCCAGTGTAGTATGATTCAATCTTAGACCTGTATTGACTCTTTGCCTGTTTGATGGTTCGTCGGAGGTCATAGCGGGATTTCTTATAAGCGTCCGGGTTAGAGTCCCGTTCCTTGAAAGCGGCAGCTCTACCCTTTAGCTCAGTGCGGATGTTTCCTGTAATCCATGGCTTCTGGTTGGGGTATGTACGTACGGTCACTGTGGGGACGACATCATCGATGCACTTATTGATGAAGCCAGTGACTGATGTGGTGTACTCCTCAATGCTGTCTGAAGAATCCCGGAACATGTTCCAGTCTGTGCTAGCAAAACAGTCCTGTAGCTTAGCATCTGCGTCATCTGACCACTTTTTTATTAACCGAATCACTGGTGCTTCCTGCTTCAGTTTTTGCTTATAAGCAGGAATCAGGAGGATAGAGTTATGGTCTGTGAGTTTTGGTGGGCAGCCCTCTCTTGCAGGTTTGTTGTGGTGCCATATTCTTTCCATTTCTTAATAATGGATTTAATGTTGCTCCGTGGGATGTTCAAAGTTTCGGATATTTTTTTATAACCCAACCCTGATCTGTAATTCTCCACAACTTTGTCCCTGACCTGTTTGGAGAGCTCCTTGGTCTTCATGGTGCCGCTTGTTTGGTGGTGCCCCTTGCTTAGTGGTGTTGTAGACTCTGGGGCCTTTCAGAACAGGTGTATATATACTGAGATCATGTGACAGTTCATGTGACACTTAGATTGCACACAGGTGGACTTTATTTAACTAATTATGTGACTTCTGAAGGTAATTGGTTGCACCAGATCTTATTTAGGGGCTTCATAGCAAAGGGGGTGAATGCATATGCACGCACCACTTTTCCATTATTTATGTTTTAAATCTTTTGAAACAAGTTATTTTTTTGAATTTCACTTCACCAATTTGGACTATTTTGTGTATGTCCATTACATGAAATCCATATAAAAATCCATTTAAATTACAGGTTGTAATGCAACAAAATAGGAAAAACGCCAAGGGGGATGAATACTTTTGCAAGGCACTGTACAAATGAAACCAGGCATTGGGTTGAGAAGGTTGATGTGGGACACATGGTTATCCCTACCTGTTCTTCCTCGTCTGCCTGCCCACCTCAACGCTTTCTTCAAGGTTATACACCATGACGGCATTTAAGTTATTTACAGCATGAAAAAGAAGGTGGGGATTATGATAGGCTGCCATCACGTGTGATATCTCATTTGTACGCGTATACATTGCTGATGCTTTCAACTGGTGTTTGTGATATCACACATAATATGCTCAGCTGCACGTTACCATGTGCACTACACTTACAGTGGGGAAAACAAGTATTTAGTCAGCCACCAATTGTGCAAGTTCTCCCACTTAAAAAGATGAGAGAGGCCTGTAATTTTCATCATAGGTACACGCAGTGGCGGCTCCTGAAAAAATTCTCAGGAGGGGCAATTTTTCTGATGATTTAGGTGACCTACACACATTTAAAAAAAGATATGTCCAGCAACAACATGAAGACAGGGGCAGCATATAAGTCAATACCAGAAGCATTTATTGACTGATCTCAAAAGTGTTGGCTTACCAGGGTTGGTGGAGCCCTCAGTTTCATCTTTGCCTCGCAAAGCTAACTCAAACACTCCGCAAAACTTCACACACTGGATTAGCCGGCTGAGGATGTGGCGGTTCTTGCTAATGTCGTAGTAAATATATTTGTTATAGTGAATATGGAATATGATATGTTGAGTAAAATGTTGTGCTAAGATCTATTTAGGTCAGGAGCTGGTTATAAGTTCTGTTCCTATCCAATAACAATGGACAAAAGGGTCCTATCTTGTCAGCCTTGTCAGCAGGTGGCCAAGGACAACACCCACGCCATAGGCCTCTCAGTTCTTCCAACTCACGAGTTCTTGCTCTGAGGACACACACACACACAAACACACACACACACACACATCATCACTGTTAAACACACACACACACATCATCACTGTTAAACACACACACACACACACACACACAAAAATCCCCTCTCTTAGGCTGAACATTTGAAGACAGAGAACCCGACTCAGAGCCAATGCAACAGTGACAGTAGCCTGCAGGGGACCTCGCCCAACTCATCAGGACCAATCAGAAGATCAGAACTACTAGATTGAACCTACTTCATTTATTGCATAAAATGTCTGCACACAATGTTTCGGGGCTCTCTTCAGATAATAATAATAATAATAATAATAATAATAATAATAATAATAATAATATGCCATTTAGCAGACGCTTTTATCCAAAGCGACTTACAGTCATGCGTGCATACATTTTTGTGTATGGGTGGTCCCGGGGATCGAACCCACTACCTTGGCGTTACAAGCACCATGCTCTACCAGCTGAGCTACAGAAAGTGGATACTCATGGATGCGCATTGCAATTGTAAAATGTCAACACAATTGGAGACACCACGTCATTTTTGGAGACATGTTATTGACAGTAAACTATTGTAGATGCGACTGCTAACTAACTAAAACATTTTAGCTGGCTAGCTAATCATCTTAGCTAAATGTGGGGCAAACAATTCAGTTATTTACCGTTAATTTGAGGGATTGGGGTGAAAGAAATCGAGTTACATAGTGATACTTTACGATATACTGTATTGACAATATCGCAATATTTTAGCGCTAGTTGGCTGTACCTGCACCAAAACACCATTATTGTTCCTTCATAGCTTGTTCTCAATCTTTTCACATTGGGAGCCAATTTGTTTTCAGCACTTTTATTTCCATGACTGATCAAAACTCGTTCTCATGGCTTTCTGATCCCTCTGCAACAGACATATGGTGCGCAATAAAATCACAGTATCGAATCGCAATACGTATAGAATCATGAGACTCGCAATGCTGATGCATATATCTTATCGTGAGGTTCCTGGCAATTCCCAGCCCAAGTTCATTTTTAAGAGTTTGACGAACGGGTCCGTGAACGCGATTCCAGATATATTTACCTCTGAATAAACTGCCTTTATTACACCATATCCACATCCAGTAAACTTGTGATTATCAACACTAACCTCATCGTTGTGGCGGCGGACAGCTAGCCTGTATCCCTCGTCATCCAGTTGAGTGAGTGGCAATGTCTTTTTTCGTTCGTACCAATTTTTGGAAAATCCTCGGGTGTAGGACTTTCCGCCTTTAGTAGAAACCTGTTGAATTATTAAATTTGGTCTGGGAGGTCCTAATTGTTTCGTTGCCAATTTATCTTCATTTGTTCGCCGACAAAAAGGAAATTCTTTCAAAGACACAACCGAGTTGCACTGAAGCCTAGCCATGTTGATAGTAGTAGTGAATTGATTGACGCTGCTACCCTCTCTTTTCTTAGTTACGTTCATGTGACGAAAGCGCGTAAGTGCAAGCCCACAGACACCCATTGAGATTGTATTGAAGGCTCTGAAATTTGAAAAAAATAGATTTTACATGGGAGTCTATGACAGAAGTTCTGGGCGATTTTCAATCTGACTGAAATCGCCCCAAAAGGGGGTGGAGCCATTTGAAGCACGACTTTAGCCTGATTCGACATTTAGTGGCAGTGTGGCACTGTGGCAGATCAGACGTATAGATTACAACACTGATAACTACTGTTGCCGTGATATAATTGATTAGAAAAAAAATCCCTTCCTTTTCCCGTTTGGCAGTGCGTCGCCCATATCGCCCTATTGAACAGGCCGTCCCTGGGTACACGTCAACTATGACAGACAAATTGAGGAAAAAAAATCCAGCAAATCACATTGTAGGATTTTTTATGAATTTATTTGCAAATTATGGTAGAAAATAAGTATTTGGTCACCTACAAACAAGCAAGATTTCTGGCTCTCACAGACCTGTAACTTCTTCTTTAAGAGGCTCCTCTGTCCTCCACTCGTTACCTGTATTAATGGCACCTGTTTGAACTTGTTATCAGTATAAAAGACACCTGTCCACAACCTCAAACAGTCACACTCCAAACTCCACTATGGCCAAGACCAAAGAGCTGTCAAAGGACACCAGAAACAAAATTGTAGACCTGCACCAGGCTGGGAAGACTGAATCTGCAATAGGTAAGCAGCTTGGTTTGAAGAAATCAACTGTAGGAGCAATCATTAGGAAATGGAAGACATACAAGACCACTGATAATCTCCCTCGATCTGGGGCTCCACGCAAGATCTCACCCCGTGTGGTCAAAATGATCACAAGAACGGTGAGCAAAAATCCCAGAACCACACGGGGGGACCTAGTGAATGACCTGCAGAGAGCTGAGAGAGTAACAAAGCCTACCATCAGTAACACACTACGCCGCCAGGGACTCAAATCCTGCAGCGCAAGACGTGTCCCCCTGCTTAAGCCAGTACATGTCCAGACCCGTCTGAAGTTTGCTAGAGTGCATTTGGTTGATCCAGAAGAGGATTGGGAGAATGTCATATGGTCAGATGAAACCAAAATAGAACTTTTTGGTAAAAACTCAACTCGTCGTTTTCCTCATTTTGTCTGTCATAGTTGACGTGTACCTATGATGAAAATTACAGGCCTCTCATTTTTTTAAGTGGGAGAACTTGCACAATTGGTGGCTAACTAAATACTTTTTTTCCCCACTGTATACTCATGTGCAAACAAAGTCACTTATACTGGAAAATAAATAATAGAAAACTCTCTGAATAGAGATTACAACAGGTTAGACGACTAGACTGCTGAGGATCAAGTGTTTTAAATCGACATGAAATGAGCTGGAAATATGGACCGATTCCTTTGACTTGTAATGTGGTTGATAGAGGATATGTTGAATTTGAAGTTAGACCTTTATCTCATGGGATAATATGAGTTTAACCAAGGCCATGCATGGAGATGAGGAAGTACAGTGTGTCGTTAGGCTCCATATAGTAGTGCTGGAAGCTGCACTCCATCAGAGGTGATTGGCAGATGGTTAATGTGTGAACTGGGATATAACATGGAGAAGAGACTCTCCCCTCCAAACCCTAATGTGGATCAGAATATAGTCTAGATAGATAGTCTTCCCCTCTAAGCCAGTGACTCCCCCATCGTGAATGATTGATAGGAAGAGAGGACGTCTTCTTGCTGGAAGGCTGCAGGGTGTGTACTATGTGATAGGATGACCCATAACCCTAAAACCACACACTTTTATTCCTGTTTCAACTCTGGAATGATCCAATTCTATCCTGAACTTAAGTTTAAAGAAGGAATATTGTGTCATGGTTAGGGTTGCAAAGGGAGGGTGTAATACTGGAAACTTTTTAGGTTTATCGGTAAACTACCAGAATTTTGTTATCTTTCAAGGATTTTATGTAATATATCACAAGACATCTAGTGGCCTTTTTGAGTACTTCAGAATATCACAAATGTCTGTAATTATCTCTGGCACTCTGTGCAGCCTTATCGCATGTAAAATATATAAAATAATTAAATAAGATGGATTTCAAATAAAAAACAGAATGAGAAAGCTGTAAAACATTATCCTAAATATAAATCATCAATTTAGTGAATATCGTTGGGGTTTAATATGAGGGTATCATCATGAAATATCCTTTATATTTTTTTTACACACTTTTATTTTTTTTTGTATGTCAATATGTATTTGTTGTCAATGTTTTTGCATCAAACTGGTGTCAGTTGTGAAAATGTAAATAGTTGGACGAGTTGCAGAGAGAATTGAAAATAATGCCTTTGTTGAACTATATGGTCTATCTACTAGAAACACAAGGACAATATGGACACAAAAAAAAATTCACAAAAAGATATACAACTATAAATTACCAAACATACAATAGATTGCCATAGATCTTCTGTTAATTACCCAAATTACTGAAGATTCCAGTAACTTTGGTAAATTACCGGTAGCTTTGTAACCCTAGTAATGGTATGTTTTATCAATCAATAGGAGAATGTGTAAGCAGTGTGTTTCTCCCTAATTCTTCTCCTGAGTCTGAGTCTTGCCAGTAGTTAGTTCACATACGGCTCGTGTCTTCCTTATTTACTATGTTTGTGTACTTCTCTACTAATATGTGTGTACACACAAATGGCATTACTCACTTAGTTAACCATTAGGCCATTGTCCTCTAATTCAATGATTCACTTAGTATTAACTAATTGGATTTCACCCCCTAACATCAACTGGGCAGTCGCACAAGTACCAAATACCTGCTTCAATGACTGCCAATTATATTCAACCCATTCAAAATAATTAATGAAATCAAGCGCTGCCGTTCAAAAGAGCCACTAGGTGTGAGTGAGGCCCTTTTGTACTGCACGGTTACCACAGCACTTTTCCCTTTCTCCTCCTCTGGTCCAAATCCAGCCGAGCTCAGCTATAGGCCCTGTCACCTCCCCAGACCCATACTCATGTGCTGATCCTTGGCGTCTTGCTCAGAGTTTTCATCATCCTCCCAATGCCCCAGATCAATTTTTTATTATGGGCGTTGACACGCCCCCCCCCACCCCCCCCCCCCCCCCCCCCCCCCCCCCCCCCACCCCCACCTCCTCCATCCCTGAGAGTGTGTAGATTAATTAAGCAGACAGACATGCGACAGCCGTAGCGATAACGAGGGAGGGAGGCGCTGGCCCAGTTAGTGATTTTAATTGCCGCCGACAACAGGTCGCTCTTGTTATAAAGGAGTGATTGCAGCAGCATGTGAGATAGATGCTGTTGAGTTACCTATTGATAGATATCATAACGGAGGTGACTACGTCATTGGATGAGGAGGATGGATCGAGTTGTATTAATAATTGATTCACAGTCCATCATCTGAACGCAAATATCAAATTCACACGCACGCACGCACAGTCACATGTGCTCTCTTTCTCATGAGCACACACACACTCAGTCACATGCTCTTTCTCTCTTTCTTGCTCTCTCTCACACTTTCTCTCACAAGCACACACACACAGACAAACACAACCCATCCAATTATCCTCCATGGGATTTTCAAACAATGTACTTTGTATCATAGATCAATACTATTATCTATTGGATGCATCAAATAGAGGTTCTAATTTGTTTGGAAGAATTCTGCAGGACTCATTTTACTATTTAGACCTAACTAAGCATTACATTAATTTGGGTAGCAGGAATGTTATAAGAAGTATTAGTAAAGTACGCTCCTGCTCTTTTAAGTTCAAATCCATCACAGAAACAGTTTGATGCAAATACTAATTTCATAGGAAACACACAAGCCTGAAGTAAAACAAAAAAAAGTAACTTTTAAACTGACTTTGTCCACTTGTCTTCTCCCAAAAAACGTCTCACAATCATTTTAGGAAGTTTTCCAAGCAGATTTAATTCCTGAAATACTCAATTATAGTAAGCCAACGTACAATCATGCTTGTGACAGGCCCGCTGATAGTAGATCCATTTCTATAGGCTCTTGGGGTGTTTCCGGGTGAATTAGGGTGCTTTTTCTCAAAGCCTGTAGCTAAGCCCCTTAGTGATTGTAGATGACTGGGATTTCTCTGAAAGGCATTAAGGTGTTCTGAGCCCCACACTCCCTCCCTCCTCTTCAAATCCGAGCCACTTCATGTAATCGAGCAGATTTGAGGAAGCCACTTGCAGTGCCATATGTGACCGACCAGCTTGATTCGGTGTTATGTAGCAACATTTGAAATTGTGTTTTTTACATTGGATAAAAGTAGAGACTCAGAGCTAGAAAATTGTATATCATACACTACAGTTGAGGAACAATGAGAAAGTCATTCTGCTTTGAAAGTTGATAAACTTGGAACCTCACTTTTGAGAAAATGGCCTTGAATGTTTTGGTACACCTACTGGAGAGCTCTTCTTTGTCTACACCATTCAGCATCGTTCACACCCATCACTTTAAGGATTCACATGTGAGGCCATGTACTAAACAACCAAAGATTTCAAGACTAAAGGCTGGTTTATACTACGGGTGTATTCATAAATTGAATCTGGAGTGCCAGAGTGTGTTCAGAGCGTTTCGATCTCGGGACGTTCAGAGCGCACACTGGACGCTCTGGCCGAGGAGTACAGTTGATGCGAGCATTCTGACCTAACAACAGCGGGTTCTGTCCTATTCAACGGGTGTTGAGCGTTCGTAAATGTGTCAGTTATTCCGCACTCTGGCACACTCAGACTAGAGTGCTCTGAAATCGGAGTAGATAGCCAGAGCAAATTTACCATCTACGTCTATCGACAGTTGCCGCAGTGACATCATGAACATTCTATTAAAATGGTTACTTGCATAGTGGAGTCTTTTCTTTAGACACGTACACTACCGTTCAAAAGTACACAGACCGTTCAAAACTACACAGATCGCATACTCATAACATTAGCTAGCTAGCGAGTCAGCTAGCTAATGTCAGCTAGCTAGCTAACAGTACACTTTAACTTGAAATGAAAACGACTTTCTGACAAAAGTAGAAAAGTGTAATATCTGAAAATGTAGCTAGCTAGACTATCTTATCCGTATACATGGATGGACGCTTCTCCCTCTCTGTCATGGGTACCATGGTTGCCCTTCGTTTGAAGATATAATCCAGAGACAGGTGTTTTATACAACAGCCTTCTGTGTGTTCTCTTTTTGACTCCGTCTGCATATTTGCAATCAAACTCCAGAATTTTCTCCATCTCCTTAGCTATCATACTCTAATTCCACTGATTCCACTAATTCCAAAACTCGGTCCACCAGAAAGTGGAGAGCAACACTTATACAGTTCTACTATGTGATATATTTCAAAAAAGCTGCGTAAGGAAGGATTACCTACAGATACTGACCAGCTCATGTTATAGACAGGAGTGTGCTACATGGCAGACCAATCTGAACTCATCTCTCGGCATGTCCAGCCCACTCATTATCTCAGCCAATCATGACTAGCGGAAAGGTTTCTGTCTTTTTCTGTGGCTAAACCAACTAGGCTCGTAATTTAACAATTGTATTCATATTTACAGATGTCATACAAGTTTGTTATTAAGGCATATGAAAGTTCACATGTTCCAGAAGGCATAGATTTGATCAAATGGCTCTCCTGTGAAGTAGTGACGCGCGACATACGCCTAGTTTCCTGAAACAAGTCACATATTTATACCCCATTGATCAAATCTATTGATCTGCAAGGCATTCATAGAGACATTTATACTGTCATTTTGTTCCATGTGACTGAGCGGCTCCTACTCAAGGTCTGTTTTTCATTGCGGTTGGATCTGCTGTTGTACAGTTACGTCTCCGTGTATTGTATGTTTGGAAACAATGAGAAAAATGTATGGGCAGTTTGAGATGGCTGGAAGGATTTGGTTTTGGACAGTAGGTTCGGTTTGGTGAACATGCATATCATAAGACTCTGAGTGGTGGCAGGAGTGTGTACCATGGGTTGAGGGCAGCCTAGCAGGGAGTCTCTCTGCCATGTGTTAACTGATGGGCCACTTATATAGACTAGTACACTAGATCAGTGTAAGTGGGCTGAACTGGCCCTGTCTGCCACCTGAGGATCCGACAGAGGGAAGCAGGTGCTCTGGACAATTGTATGTGTGCGTCTTGGTGTGAGTGGATGTGTGTGTGTGTGTGTGGCACACACAAAACATACCTTCTGTGACTCACACTCACACACACATTGGGGAAGAGTAGAAATGTAGTAACTGCCAGTTGGTTTGTTAAGATCTCAGTCAGAACATTAACATGCATCGCTTGTGGTACGGTTTTGGAAGCATAAGGACATTATCTTTCATATCAGCGAGAAATACGTTTAAAAAAACTAAAGGTTAAATTAATACACACCTTTTATAGGGTTAATGTTCCCACACGGCCATATCTCCATGTTACAGCACTTGTTTACGGAAAACAGACAGAAGACAGAGGGACCACCTGTGCTAATTAGCTATCTAGCATGCTCCAAACACCTGTGTGCAACGGTAGAAGGCCATCAGAAACGTGTTGTCACTGAAAAATACTGTAGTTAAAGCCAGTTAAAACAGTGTACAGTAAGTGTATATTTTGCAGTTGTGAAATTAATTTGATGTGATATGAAAGTAAAGGGCTTTATGTTTCTAGAACCGTATGGCAATTGAGAATCGATTCACGTTTAGATGGAGTTTTGGCTGCCAGAGCCAGTCTACCTCTGAAAATGGCATAAAATCCTTGGACCTTAAGGAGTAATGGTAGGCTCGTTAAGAGTACATCTTGGGCTAAGTGGAATGGCGCTATGTTTCCTCTGTTAGACTCCTTATACTGCATTGTATGATGGCTCTTTCTTTTGTATCATGACTTTGGAGTTTGAATTATGTATTGCCCTGTATTTACACATGAAGTTCTTAATTCTCACTCATATTTGATTGAGTATTTCTTGTTTCTTGTAGTTTCACCCTGAATCATTAAAGTGGATGACGATGATCAAGATCTTGACTCCAGTATTATGATAAGGCATTTCACAGTCATATCCTACTGTAACGTGAAGAGGACAGAACAGCGACAAGTTCTGCCCATAGAATGTACTGTACACGATGCAAACTATTCAAGATGAAAGCTAGACAATCACCAAATAGCTCACTGTGCCCTCAGGGGGCTCCTGCCACAATTTTTTCATATGGTTTGGTAATGTCCAGAGGTTTTAAGTTTCTGGAGTTGTGTTTCATCCTGTCTCTCTGATATAATGTGTAGAAATGTACCATGTTCACCATCTATTTTATTGTTAAATGATGACACTACTTTAGACCTATCTGTCAGACAGCTACGTATTTGGCTGGCTGGATTAACATTAGCCTCACGTTGAAAACGCTCCTCATTCTTTAAACAGACAGCTGTGGCAGCTATCACTCATGAACATAATAAACATGGAAATGTCTGTAGCAAGTATGCATGTGTCGAGTGAAAGAAAAATATCTGCTCTTTCGTCAGCGTAGGACTGTAAAAAGACTGCTATTGTGAACCACTAGTCCTGTGGGTGGGGGGTGGGATGGGAACTGCATGTGTTGTTCTGTCTTGTCACTTCTTTGTCCATGTGTACCTGTTTTGTGTACCTTACTAAAAACAATAAAAACATTTAATCACAAAAAGAACAGACACATTAGTAGTGTATGGAATAGTAACTGCATAGCAAGCAGAAAACTAGTACATGGAGATGGAGTAGTACTGTAAATTGTAAAGTGATGTGATGTTAGTTATATATTAACAGATAATGTTTGCTATGTTTTAATGGTGTTGTGCATCACATATTTCAGGGTCTGATGTGTTTACACAGCTTAATGGCATGTAAATAACGTTTCCTACCTATCTCGTGAAGCGAGGATAGCTAAATGCATTGTCAGCAGAGTCTCTTGCATGCAGTACGGCACACACAGACTTTAATTGCATAAATGTGCCCTCTTAGAATGACCGCCTACAGCGATTGCAGAAAGGAAAGATACATTACTTTTATACCCTCTGTTGTTCTTAATCTCTCATCCCACCGGTATGTACTGTATTCTCCATTTTATCAGCCACCACACTTACACAAGTGTCCTCCTCTTCCAGTGGAATAAAAGCCGGAGATAACACTGTCGACAGCTGCTGCATTCATCACTAGCCATTACTAATATGTCATGCTGTGGTGGCATGCAATCCATTAGAGAAAAGGAGCGGTACACTAACTGTTTTACAAAGGTATAATTAGTTGTTCATTTTAATGGAAACGAGAGATCATATTATTTTGCTTTTACACTAGCTACGGTTGCATATGCATTAGACAATATTGAGGGTGCACAGATGACGATGGATCTGATGAAAATAACGTTATTAATGGAGTTTTCATATGGTGGTGACGGTCATGACGACTGTGATGATGGTTATGATTCGGCTATTGATGGTGACATCCAGAAGCATGAAATAGATGATAGGCTTGAAAGTAATGCTATATCAGTAATGGCATTATTGGCCTCTATAATTAGGATGATGGCGGTGACGATGGCCATGACAATTATCCCGAGGCATTACCAGCCAGCTCTGACTCGCTCTGACTTGCTCAGAGGCTGGCAAACCATTCTGTGATTCTCCGCTCTGTATTGGTAACCTGTCTGTCTGTGGCAGGTAACGCGTGACGTCTCTCCGCCCTCTGCACCATGCTTGGAAGAGCGTGCGTCATGCCACATTAGCGAGGGAGCAGAGTTAACTCTTATCAGCATGGCGAGAGCCCGCAGGACCACAGCAATCTCAGTCCATAGATTATTCACATGGAGGGAGGGGAGGAGTGACACTGGCGGATGGGCAGCAACACACATCCAACCACACATCTCACCCAGATCCCCCAATCTTAAGATTGGCACAAGCACAATGAACATCCTTGCCTTTGCCAAAGTCCCCTACTGTAACCAATGTGCGCTTTTGTCTTTCACTTTGTGTGCCATTGTCATCACAATCCAATCAGTGTAGCCCTGTCTCCTGGTCTACTGTGCCGGTTTGTTCCATGGGTTTGACACTGAGGGGGCTTCTTTAATTCCCTCAAATTTGTCTGGCTGCCCCTGTGAAGATACGAGGCTAGCGCCTCGGAGTTGACGCCACGCTGTTTACCTGCAGTTAAAAGGATCTTGCGTCCTCCACAGGGGGTCTTATTATCCCTTCCTCTTCCATAAAGACAAGGAATTATCCCGTCCCAACACCGGGGTGAGGGAACGCAGCAGTGCGCTGGGAATATAAATAGCTCCTAATGTTGAGCACTGATACGCCATCAAAACTCTGTTCATCCTACCTTTTGATTCTTACCCAATTCATTTTAGCGAGATCCCCGACTGTTGTCGGGTTCTTTAGACTGGCCGTTGGGTTTGTTTTTCGTTAGAGACAGCGACTGACGGTGTCTCATCTGAATGACAGAGAGGCTGCTGGGTAAATGGGGATGTTTTGCTGTTAATTGTGGTAGACTGTGGGATCTCAAGGCTGTTGCATTGGTTTCACTGGCCTCTGATGTTTATCACTTGCTGGTTGGTTGCATTGCAGCATCGTGACAATGGTCGAGTTCATTTTGCATGGCCCGGTGCCCCAGGTAGGCAGAGTTTGCTCATTTTAGACCATTCAAATCAAATACAATTTTTATTGACGAATACAACAGGTGTAGACCTTACAGTGAAATGCTTATTTACAAGCCCTTAACCAACAATGCAGTTTTAAGAAAGAATACCTAAAAAAAAAAGTAAAAAAAAGTAACAAATAATTATAGGACCATTGGTCCTTAAGTGAAATCTCCACCC